CAGTTAGTTAGTAGGGATGTAACTGCACAGCCATATGGAAAACACTATGGAATTCCCTTGAAAAACTAAAACCAGAACTACCACGTGACCCAGCAACCTCAAAGGAAACTAATTCAGTCTGTCCAAGAGACATCTACACAACCGTGTCTCCAGACTCTTCACAGTAGCCAAGACATGGACACAACCTAAGTGTCCATCAACTGAGGAATGGAAAAGAAAATGGTACAGATCCACAATGGAATATTATCCAGCCACAAAAAGAACGAGATCCTACCATTTGCAACAACATTAATAGAACTGGAGGTCATTATGTTAAGTGAAATAAGTCAGGCACAGAAACACAAGTACTACACACACTCACTCATATGTGGAATATAAAAAAGCTGATTTAGGGCCAGGCATGGTAGTGCACATCTGTAATTCCAGCTACTTCGAAGGCAAAGGTAGGGGTATTGAGGTCTGAGGCCAGCCTGGATAAAAGCTCCAGCTTATCTGGAAAAAAATAGTACTAAAAGCCAAAAGGACTGAGGATGTATCTCAAGCAGTACAACACCTGAGGCTATGAATTCAATCTCCCATTAAAAAAAAAAAAGATCTCACAGAAACTAAGTTTCTGTAAGGCTACAGAGACTGGAGGGAGAGAGAAGGAGCAGATGGGGAAAAGTTAACTAACAGGTACTAAGTTATAGTTAGATAGGAGAAAGATTCAGGTTTTCTTTCGCACTATAGGTAACACACATTAGAAAAAAGGATGGATGAAAGGACTTTGACTATTTTCACCATAAAGAAGTGATAAGACTGCGCATGTGGCTCGAGTGATAGAACATCTGCCTGGCAAGCTCAAGGCCCTGAGTTCAATCTCCAGTACTGGGGGGGGAAAAAAAAAAAAAGCTGGGTTTTTCCTGGGTGTGGCAGTTCACTCCTGGAATCCCAGTTACTCAGAGGTGGAGCTGGGAGCTGATCCTGAGGCCAGCCTGGGCAAAGGGCAAAGTTAGCACAAGATTCTATCTAAAAAACAAACTAAAAACAGAAGGACGGGGTGTGTGGCTCAAGTGGTAAAGCGAGTGTTTGCCGACCCAGTGGGAGGCCCTGAGTTCAATCTCCAGTACCACAAAAAAAACAAAACAGAACAGATCTATGTATGTGTAGGCAGGTTTGCCCTGATTTGAACATTACACAATGTGCACATGTATTAAAACATTACATGGCACCCTATATAGAGAGAGAATTTTTATGCATTAGTTAAAAATTTGGGCTGGTGGAGTGACTCTCAGTGGTGGAGCACCTGCCTAGTAAGCACGAGGCCCTGAGTTCAAACCTCTGTACTGCCAAAAAAAAAAAAAATTAAAAAACTAACCTCAGGACCACCAAAAAAAAAAAAAAAAAAAAAATTGCCGGGTGCTGATGGCTCACACCAATAATCCTAGCTACTCAGGAGTATCACGGTTTGAAGCCAGTCCAGGCAAAGAGTTTCCACGAGACCCTATCTCGAAAAAACCCTTCACAAAAATAAAGAGGCTGGTGGAGTGGCTCAAGTGTAGCCCCTGAGATCAAACCCTGGTACCACAAAAAAAAAAAAAAAAAAAAAAAAAAAACCAGGCAACTTGGCAACACCTAATAAAATTTAAAATGTGCAAGCCTGCTAACCAAGTCTAGAATTATGTCATACACAAATACTAGCAAAAGTGCATAAAGACATGTGTGAGAAGGTCCACTGCTTTATTATCTGTAATAGCAAAACACTGGAGCAATTAAAATGTCCATAATTATAAGAAGGAATCACGGTACAGTCATAACATGTAATAGCATACCGCTGCTAAAAGCAATTAGATAAATACTTACTGACAGACTTGAAAAGGCGCTTGCAAAACTGCAAGACACAATGTATATTATGGTCCCACTTTTGGGACCACACTATTTACCACGTGTGAGGCGTGATTCTAAGTATTTTACAATAGTAACCCACTGCACCCGCCCTATGATGTAAGTAGAGATGAGGAAGCTCACCAGTCACATGGAAGGCCTCGCCAGGTCTCACAGAAGTAACTGGCCAGCCTGTTCAGCTGTGGTTCAGACCCACCCTGCGGAACATTTGACTGTACACATGGACATAGTTGAAGGAGGTAGAGGAACCATTGACGCTACATCAATAATCAGCTATTTTCAGAAAGACTGAACTGGGTCGGTCGACAAGGGAGTGTCTTGTGTCTTAGAAGGCATTAGGTCAATAATAATAAGTCAGTAAGGATAGGAGCAACCTAGAAGGGTAGAAACCTACCTGGTAAAAGAGGCCAAGTGGGAAATTGAGGAGAGAAGACAAGTTCTTTTTTTTCTCTTTGGTGGTACTGGGGTTTGAACTCAGGGCCTTGTGCTTGCTAGGCAGGTGTTGAGCTATGCTCCCGGCCTGTTTGTTGTTGTTGTTGTCTGGTTGTTTGGTTGGTTGTTTTGGTTTTTGTGGTGATAAAGTGAACCCAGGGCCTTGTACATGCAGGCAAGCATTCTACCTTTGAACTACACCCACAGTCCCCATATTTTTCTGTAGTATTTGGATTTTGTTATAATAAATTTGTATTATTTTTATACTAAGAACTTCTTGCAAACCATTACAAATAAAAGCCATTATTTAAAACATCTAGCCAGATATGGGGCCTTATCTCTGTAATCCTGGCACTCAGGAGGCTGAAGCAGGAGGATCATGAGTTTGAGGCCGTCCTGGGCTACACAGAGACAATCAATCAAAAGGGATCATAAGAAACTAAAAAAAAAAAAAAAACAACAACAGGCAAAACTAAGTGATGTAACAGAAATAAGAGTCAGCACCCATTGGGATAGTGACTGAGGCACAAGGAACCCTCAGACACAAGGAACTCTCCAACGCCAAGAAAGATGTTCTAAAACAAGAAAAAATTCAGTAAGAAGAAAAGCAAAAAGAAAATGAGAATTAAAAAAAAAAAAAGACTAATGTTTGGTATATTGATCCGGGATTGTAACAAGGGTATATATGTGTAAAAATTCACCAAGCTTACAATTAAATCAGTATATTTGATAAATTTTGTGAGAATCTACAGATAGATATATATCATACTTCAAAACCATTTTAACAGCATCAATATTTGAGGACCCTTTGTCTTTTTGGTGGTTCTGAAGTTTGAACTCAGGGCTTCACGTTCCCAAAGCAGGCGCTCTACCACTTGAGCCATACTGCCAGTCAATTTTGCTCAGGTTATTTTGGAGATGGGGCCTCATGAATTATTTGGCTGGGGTGACCTCAAACCAAGATCCTCTCAATCTCAGCCTCTCATGTAGCTTGGATTACAAGCGTAAGCCACAGGTGCCCAGCTAAACATATTTTTAACTGATACATTAAAGCATAAAAATCATATGTGTTTATGGGATGCCATATATAAAATAAATCTCCTCCAAAAAAAATTTTTTTTGCAGTGCTGGGGATTGAACCCAGGGCCTTTGTGCATGCTGGGCAATCTATAGCTAAAGTAAAATGCCCAGCCAAAAACAATGCCTTTTTAAGATCACCTTTTCAGCTTCATCATCACTTCCATGAATTACAACTATCTTTTACAAAATTATCAAAAGTTTCTAGAACTGATTAAACCTTCCTGACAGTGATATCAGGTGAGAGGCTGAAGTTCACTGAGACTCTAATATTACTGACACTGGCCAGTTATTTATTTTGTTTTAAGCCTCTCGAAACCTTAAGTAAACAAATCCAACAGCCAGTGAAAATGACACACCCAGAAACTCTCAGTGAAACCTTTACTTCATCGTTCACAATAGACTGTTCTATTCCATGTACAGGTGGACTGGCCTGCAGCTAAAGGTTGAAAGAAAACACTCCCCACCCTTCACTTCACAGGGGCAACAAAGGAGGGGGCTTCCGGTAGATGGCAGACACAGCAACCTTCATCTCAGCAGCAAACACCTGCCACACCCTTTCTGGCTCAACTAAGACAGTTTAGGTTTTGCTCCTTAACTAACTAGAAATAACTTCACCTGTGTTTCTAGATACTCTTAAAAATTCAGACGTATGGATGCTGGAGCTAAAGCCAGCTTTCAGGGTATCAGTGACCCACACCTTCCCTCATAGCCCACTTACCAGCCAAAACAAACCCACCCTGAATCCAGGGTCCAGTATTCTCAACTGGCCTTCATGGCAACAAATCAATCTGACTGAAGAAACCCAGGATGGCAGTTCTAGAGGTTGGCTCTAACAGCATCTAGCAGAAGCAGAGTCTCTCCAAACATCTCTAAAGACCACGTGGTAACACTCACTGCTGAGGTGCTTTTGGAGAGGGACTTCATGGGCTTTTAGCAAATCCTATCATATAGAAAGCTTGGTAGGACTCCCCAAGTAAAATCATCTCTAACCTTTCTCTTGGCCACTCTACAGTATTTCAGAGGTAATTGTTATACAGAATTAGTCACTGTGGTTTGCCATTCTGTCATCCATGTAAATAAAATGTTTAAAAGGCTGCAACTCAGGCAAGGGCTGGTGGAGTGGCTCAAGTGGTAGAACGCCTGCCTAGTAAAGTGTGAAGCCCCGAGTTCAAACCCTAGTACCGCCAAAAACAAGGCTGCAACTATTACATTCCCAAAGCACCCTTGCCAATCCCAACCCAAGACAGCACCCTTCCTGGGCAAAAATGTTCTCTACAAAATGGCAAGCAAAAAATTAAAGGGGCTGGGAAGGAAGAGCTGTTCTGATGTTGAAAGGCCAAGCTCTTTCTGCCTGGTTTCATTAGAAGCCATTTCTTTTCAGCGCTTAAGACCTGCTTCTTGCAAACAGAAATGATTTTTACCTTTTAGTAAAACAATTTCCACTTATCCCACCCTTTTAAAATTCTGAGTAAAAAACCAAAGCAACAACTTGTGTAACATACACAGACAATAATTCTAAGAACAAAGCTGAACAAAGCACCAAAAATTTAGAGACAGAAACCTGGGGATTTAATAAAAGATTGAAAGTGTTTTTTTATACTTACCCACTCTTCCACATTAGGGGGCTGCTCATTATAAATGTGTTCCTTGTCCCACAAAATATTGGACTTGCCATACCGGTCTATCTTACTTCTTGTTTTCACAGCAAAAAAAATCATTAAAGCAAAAGCCACGATAATCATGAAGCCCAGTACGATGGCAATAGCCTAAAAAGGAATTACAGGTATTGACAGAGTTAATTTTAATTGCATACTTAATTGCAATCTATCCTGTGCAAGTTAAAACCCTGTGCAGCTCAAGGACCAACTAAAAACATGCTGTCTGATATGGAACTAAAGCATATTATTACATTTTAGTCACATCAGAAAATCTAACCCACACTGACTGGGTGAACTATGGCTAGCAAAGTGCATGTGTGCAGCACACACACACACATACAGACACACACACAAATACACACACTCCTTGACTGCATCCTTGGGGTTTGGAACTACTATCACTTAATTTTACAGCTGTAGGAAACTGTACTGTTCTGAAGCTTATCCAGGTATCTGTCATATTTTTATAAACAGGTGAAAAAGGCCAGTAAACTAACTCAATGTGCACACATGCACACACACACTTTTTTTTTTTTTTGAGGCTGGCTGGCCTGGAACTCATGATCTTCCTGCCTCAGCCTCCCAAATGCTGGGATTAAGGCGTGCACCACCATGCATGCCTGGCTTAAATGCTATACTTTTTTTCTTGCAGCACTGGGGTTTGAACTCAGGGCCTTGTGCTTGCTAGGCAAGCACTCTTACCACTTGAGCCATTCCACCAGCCCTTTTTTTGTGATGGGTTTTTTTGAGATAGGGTCTCGAACTATTTTAGAAGGGACTGGCTTCAAACCTCGAGCCTCCTGATCTCTGCCTTCTGAGTAGCTAGGATTACAGATGTGAGCCACTGGCAGCCAGAATGCTATACTTCGAAAGGGCTTAACAAATGTCAAGTTCAGAAGCAGCTTTAAACACCCAAGCATGCTATAATCTTGTTCATAACACATGCTTGGCCAATCTTGTTACAATGGAAGTAAGTTTCAGCCCATAGACAATCTGTCTTACTATAGATGATGAAGACATGGATCTAGCCAAGCTACAAATTACAACAAATGGACTAATGATTCCTCGAGTCTAGCAGGTTTCTCTATTTGTAGTGTCTTGTATACGTGCTAGAAAGAGTCTTATGACAAGGAAACTTCTTTCACTTACAGGTTCTTCCAGTGTCTGATAAGTATTAAGTGGCAGGCATCTGGACTGGGAGGCACTTGTAGTTAGAGGCAGTAACCAAACCTCTGCCCTGGATATCTGCTAATGGACAACAGGAGGCTGTCCTTCCAGCCGTCTATCTTGCAGTGACATCCTTGTTCAAAGAATATAGGCTTCAAGTAGTCAGAGGATTAAGAGGAATGAGGATATGGGAAGAAAAGAGTAGCAATTCTCAGTCCCTATATACCACAGACATGTCTGAAAACCTATACATGCAGGGAAAACATGCACTCTTCAAAACAAACACAGTTACTAGAGAAAGTCAAACCCCCAGAGTGACTTATTCAGGTCAAGGAGTGGGAATTCCTGAATCAGTGTAAGGAGAAAAAAGAAAAACAAAACAAAACAAAAAACAGAGGAGAAAAAGATTAGTCACTCAGAAATGTTCTGATGTTAATATAATTAGGATGACTCATGGTTACTGAAGGCAGTGTGCCCAACCCCAACAGCACATCGGAATCACCTAGGTAGCTTTTAAAAATTCTGACACTGATTATAAAACATTTTTGAAAGAAACTGAAGAGGACCTATATAGAGACAATCCTGTGTGTGTGGATTGGAAGACTTAATTGTAAATCAACGACATTCCTCAAATTGATCTATAGACTCAACACAACTCCAAAACCCTAGCACAGGCCGGGCGTAGGAGGCTCATGCCTTTAATCCTAGCTACTCAGGAAGCAGAGAGCAGGAGGATCTCAGTTCAAGGCCAGCCTGGGCAAAATGAAGGCAAGACTCTACCTCAAAAATACCCAACACAAAAAAAGGTGGGATGGCACAGGTGGTAGAGCACCAAGCTGGCAAGCAGGAGGCCCTGAGTTCAAACCCATTTTCCACAAAAAAAAAAAAGAAAAAAAAAAAATCCTAGCACTGGGTTTTTTTTTTTTTTTTTGCAGAAATTGATAAACTGATACTAATATGGAAACGCAAGGAACCTCAAATCTAACCAAAAGAACAAAGTTGGAGAACTCCCACTTTGCAATTTCATAACTTACTACAAAGCCAAGTAATTGAGGCAGGGTAGTACTGTGATCAATGGAATCAACTGAGCGTCCAGAAACAAAGCCCACTTTATGGCCAAATATTTTTTGTTTTGTTTTGGCTTTGTTTTTGGCAGTGTTGAGGTTCAAAGCCAGGACCGTGTCTAAGTGCTCTAATACTAAGCTACATCTCCAGCCCATATGGTTAATTCATTTTCAACAATGGGTCCAGAAAATTTAATGAAAGCCAAGTGTGGTGGTGCACACTGATATCCCAGCACTCGGGAGGCTGAGGCAGGAGGATCACGAGTTCCAGGTCAGCCTGGGCTACATGAGGAAACCATGGCTCAGAGAAAAGAAAAACAATAGCAATAACATCAGAAATTAGATAAATTAGACTTCATCAAAAATAAAAACTTTTGTGCAAAAGGACATGAAAAATGCAAAAAAAGATTGAAAAAATGAGAAATATTTACAAATCATACATCTGATAAGGTACTTATTTGGGTTCAAACTGTAAAGAATTAAGAACACTTCAATTTAAGCTTTATTCACTTCAAAGTGAGTACAGGGCTGTTGGAGTGGCTCAAGTAGTAGAATGCCTGTTTAGCAAGCATGAGGCCCTGAGTTCAAATGCCAGTGCCACCAAAAACATGCTCAACTCTGGACTCAATCCCATCATCAAAAAAGAACACAAACAAAACAAAGCAAAAAAATGCTCAGTAGCGTCAGCTGTCAAGGAAACAAATCAAAACCACAAGAAAGTTCTAGCAGAGCTAGAAGCAGACACACTGACAATGACAATCCTTGGTGAGGAAGTAGAAAAACTGAAACCCTCATACATTTGTGGTGGAAATGTAAACTGATGCAAACTCTTTGGAACACTCTGGCAGTTCCTCAAAAACTTTGGAGTGACCATAAGACTCACCAATTCTACCCCTACATACATACATAATATCAAGAGCTATTAAAACACAGCTCACTCAAAAACTTATACATCAATGTTCACAAAAACCTGTACACCAATGATCACAATATTATTTGTAACAGTCAATGTGGAAACAGCCCTACAGTTCATCAACTAATGGGTAAATAAAATGTCGTCTATACATACACTGGAGTATGGTCACCAAGAAAAAGCAATGAAGGACTTATGCATGCTAAAACATGGATAAACCTTAAAAAACATTATGCTAAGTGAAAGAAGCCAATCACAAAAATCCAGAGAGTAGGTAAATCTATAGAGGCAGGACTAGTTGTTGCCTAGAGAGGGTTAGATATTGCCAGTAACTGCTAATTGGTACAGAGGTTTCTTTGGTAGATAGTAAAAAGGTCCTAAAATTGTGATGTTTGTACAATTCTGTAAATACACTACAAACCACTGAACTATTCTTTAAACAGGTGGGACTCACTATGGTTATATATATATATATAACTGTAGTTAATAAGGACATTCCCACATCCATCCCCAAATTCTGAGATGAATAAAAGAGTCGGGTCTTGGCATTTTAGTTTTAAAATGTTCTACCTGACTCTACGACACGGCCCAGGTTGAAACCTCTGACTTTAAGGAGAGGCGGAAAACACAAAACAAAAAATCCACTACTCATACCTCCTGGGGATCCACCACACAGTAGTGATACAAATATTGATCCACATAGAGTCCAGTAGCTCCAGTGTAAAACTGATTGCACAGGGCATATATCTGTGAACCGTACAGGGATCCAGAAGTCTGGGCAGTTGGGTTGACTCCCATGATGTAGACAATTGTGGCAATAAACACCATGATGCCCAGAACAGCACTCACTATGATCACAGTCAAGTAATATCTTCTTGTTCTGGACATTCCAGATCTTATAACACTGGTAACAAATATCGCCAATGAGGCAATGAAACAAAAAGCAGCCATGGCCAACAGGAAGCCCTTTGCTGCTCTTGGATCCGTATACCCTGCTCCATACCCATAACCGTAGCCATAGCCATAGCCATAGCTACTTCCATAGCTACCAAAGCCACTTCCGTAAGGGTAGCCTCCACTACTAAAGATGCCGGTTCCATAGCCTCGGTCCCAGGCAAGTGTGGAGGCAACACAGGCAAATATGGCAATGCACATGACAATGATGAGCATGGTCAGAATCCGAATCACTCCAGGAGGGGACGTCCACTTGTAGAAGTGAAGAATTTCATCTTCCGGGTAAAAGGAATATGCTGGCTGCGAGAGCATTGGTCGAACGTGCATTTCCCCATCGTACATGTCATTGCCCGGTGCATAATGATTTGGTTTGCTGAAATGCACAAGGAAAGAACTTTAAGTTAGCATGTTTTGGCAGTAAGCCAAATAAACTATTTGGAATAACTTAAACTAACCCTTCGTAAATGTAACTACTATTGCTGTACCAGTGAACATGAAGGTATCTGGGCCCCAGAATCACCTGGATGGTCTATTAAAAGATTATTGGTCCCCAGTGCCAGAGTTGCTGACTCTGCAAATCTGAGGTTGTAGAAGTTTCCAGCTGAGTCAGATGCTGCTGGTCTTGGAAACATACCTTGAGAATGACGGCTCTAGTATATTATGGGGCAAAGGTTCTTAAAATTTGCTCCTTATTAGGATCCCTTGGGAAAGTATGGTGGGCCTAGGGATGAGCTCAGTGGAAGAGTGTTTGCCTAGCAACTGGGTTTGGTTCCCAGCACCTAAAAGAAAAATCTCAGATAGCTCACACCATGTCTATTAAATTATAATCCCTATGGATAGAATGCAGACAGTTTTAGAACAATGGTCTCAACCTCTTTGCCTGTGTGGCACAAAATGGGTACATTCAAACATAACACCCACACTGGTCTCTCCAGGGTCCTGTGCGATTCCTGACAGCCTCACTCTTCTACTTAAGAAAGTGCAGGCATTTATTTATGCATCTGACTGCTGTTTACTGGAGTTGCTAGACTGACCAGTGCTGGGCAACGGAGACACAGAAGTGAGGAGAGATAATCTCACTCCCAATTTTAGTCTGTAAAGGGAACAGGCTATGGAGCAAATCATTACATGAGCTACAGTTAATTATGGCAAGAGCTGCTAAGTAACCCAACTATGCAATGAGAACACATCGGGGCAATACCTAATTAGACCTTGAACTGCCCTCATAAAAACTACTTTGTACCTTCCAGTAACTTAATTATAATAGGCTGCTTGTGACAGACACACTAAAGTGTGGCCACACTGAGTCTAAAAACTACCGGCCCTGGGGAGGCAAAATTCAATTCTAAACAGACCTGAGCCCCTATTGGTTTGCCTTCATTTCCATAGACCACCTTCCTCTTCCCCAAATGAGACATCTTACTGCTGGCTGCTGCTCACCATGAGAATTCAAAGAAATTATCTAAGTATGTGAGAACGACAATAAGAAGGAAGTGGAAAAACTAGAAACTACTGATGAGCTGGGCTTTGAAAATGTCAAGATGAACACTTGAGTTGTCTCTGTGTGGGGGGCATTGTGAACAGTATAAGCTCTGAATATCATTGAATTCTGGCACACAAAAGCACTTATTTTTCCAAAGCATATACCCAGAAGTAGAATTTCTGGATCACAACTTGTATCTCATTAGCTGTATTATACATTGTCAAGCTGTCTTCCAAAATGACTATATTAATTGTACCCCTAACAATGGTGTAAAACAGTTCACCGCATGGTTTTGTACTATCCTATACTTCAGATTTCCTTTTTTGTGTGGAACTTGCTGCTTTTTTTCATATTGAAAAGATGACATTGACCCAAGAGCCAAAAATAAATGGGAAATTAAAAGTTAAAAATAATTTTTAAAAAGTTCACAGCAGCATTGCTTATGATAACTCCAAACTAGAAACAGTCCAAATGTCCAATGTAGTGAATGGGTAACTGTGACATATACACAGAAGGTGCGAGAATCAACTATATTCAGGTTTCTGTCAGAGGAGTTAATGTAAAACTATCACTGTGTAGACGCCAGCTAACCTTCCCAATTTGCTGCCTACACGTTTTGTGAAATGTTGCTTGACCTTACAAGGTTCTTGTGGTCAAACAAAAACAGCTGTTTATTGCCAGATGTCCTAATCTCAAACTGCTTGCTTAAAGATGAATATTGCCCAAAAGAATTTTCTTGTTCTTCTCTGGTTTAAGGTCCCCTTACCTAATGTGCCCCCTTTCCTAAGTAACCAATCATGAAGACTGTGAACCCAAACCAGTCCATCAGGGCAAGGGACAAAGAGATAAAAACTGAGCTGACTCCCCGTTTGCTGTGTTCTGCCTATCAGACTATGGTCTATGGCTGCACCCTTCTGCAGAAGTACAACTTTTCTTTTTGCCTTGCTGAGTGACTCCTGAGTGTTTCTGTGATCATTGTTTGGGATAAGGGAATACTACAGAGCTGTGCTCTCTAACAGGACAGCTGCTAGCCACATGGGTTCTACGTAACACTTGAAATGGTGCTAGTCCAAACTGACATGTGTTGTTAAACATGTAAAATACACAGATTTCCAAGACACCATATGACAAAGAACGTATATTTCATAAATCATTTTTTAATATCAATTGCTTATTGAAACATTCTAGCTATGCTGAAATTAAAACTAAATTTTCCTTTCATTTTAATGTGGTTGGAAGAAAATGTAAAAGTACATGTATGGCTAGCATTAGATTTCTTTTGTTGTTGTCTTTTGTTTTCTTTTTTTGTGGTACTGGTAATTAAACTCAGGACCATACGTATGCCAAGCACACACCCTGCCACTAAGCCCTCTCATTATATTTCTATAGTGCTACTGTGAGGCAAAAAGTGATGAATTTGCCGGTTGCTGGTAGCTCAGACCTGTAATCCTAGCTACTCAGAAGACAAAGATCAGAATGATTGTAGTTCAAAGCCAGCCCAGGCAAATAGTTCCTGAGAAACCCATCACAAAAAAGGGCTGGCAGAGTAGCTCAAGTGGTAGAGTGCCTGTCTAACAAGTGTGAGGTCCTCAGTTCAAACCCTGTTGCTGCCAAATAAATAAATAAACATAAGAAATAAGTATCAGATTAATAGAGCACTACTCGATTACAATATTCTCTGGCATATCTGAAGGACAATGTTGTGTCCCTACCATGTTCAGGTACCAGTAAGGAGGTTGCATAACTGGAACATAACCTATGTTATGTGTGATACTGTGCATATATCTGGTCTTAGTCCCTATTTCCTAGCATACAACCTAAAATCTTTGGAATCTTCAAAGTGATAAATGTCTTTTGCATGTAAGGAGATGACTGGTGACTGACCTCCCCCTAGCTAGCTTCCAAAGCAGTGTAAGAGGGTTGGAACTTTTTAGCCCCACACTCTTAACACTGGGAAGAAAAAAAGAGGCTCAAGATTAAGTTGATCACCAACAGTCAATGATTTCATCAGCTATGCCTTGAAGCTTCCATAAAAACCCAAAAGCACAGGATTCAGAGAGCTGGACATGTGAAGGTGGATCCTAGAGAGTGATGTCCCTGGAGAGGGTGTGGAAGATCTATACCTCTTCTCCCACACCTCACCCTATGCATCTCTTTGTATGGTATTCACTGGTACAACATAAAGAAGTGTTTCCCTGAGTTCTGTCAGCAGCTCTAGCAAATTAATCAAATCAGAGGAGGGGGTTATGGGAACCCGATTTATAGCCAGTCGGGGGCAGGCAGTCTCATGGGAGTGAGCTCTCAAACTGTGATCTATTCTTTCTCAAGACAGTCGGAGTCAAAATCAAATTGGAGGATACCCAGCTTAATGCCTACTATAGAACTGATTGCTAGGCTGCCTGCAAGGAGAATCCCACACATTTTAGTGACTAGAGATCACAGAAGCATTCACTATTGATAATGTTGAGACAATATAACAGGCGACACTAAATTTGCTTTTTCCTGTATTATCCCCACTGGAATTATTGTAGTCAAAGCCACAAGCTACTTAAAGGAAGAAATCTGTATTAATGTTTGAGAGCAAATTTAAAATTAAGAATTCATTGATAAATCCCCAAATTTCCAAGAATCCCAAGAACCCTCAACTTTGCTTAGTTCATGTAGCAGCAAGAATCACTTTGAAATTTGACAATATGGAGGGCTGGGGGTGTAGCTCAAAGGTAGAGTGGATGCCTAGCTTGCTTAAGCCCTGAGTTTGAGTTGCAGCACTACAGAAGGGTAGGGGTGGGGGGCTGGGAGTTAGCAACAAAGAAAACATTAGTGTAAGTGAAGAAGACAGTTATAAAAGGCCACAAATTATATGATTCCACTTATATGACTAGACAATACATTGACAAAAAGTAGGCTGGTGGCTGCCTCACAGGGGACTTGGGAAGTGCCTGCTAATAGGTAGGTTTCTTTGGAGGGTGATGAAAATGTTTTAAAACTAATTGTGGTGACTGTTGTATAAGTCTGTGAATACGCTGGCAGGATGGCTCAAGTCATACAGCACCTGCCTAGCAAGTACAAAGCCCTGAGTTCAAACCCCTGAGTTCAAACCCCAGTGCCACAAAAAATTAAAAAAAAAAAAAGTAATCTAAGTCTGTGAATATATTTTAAAATATGACATGTGAGTTCTATCTCAATAAAACTGTTTAAAAAATAAACTGATAATATGTCGCCAATGGCCATCTAAAAAGGGCATTAATACTGAAGTTTCATACCACGTGTGAAAAACAAAAATAAGTAAATATACACAAACAAAATAAACCTACCATCTTCCAAGATAAACATCTGAAATGGATGCCAGTAGTTGCCTCTACAGAGAAAATTTATCAACGTGGAAGTTAAGAGTAAGAAAGAAATTCACTTTTCATTTTTTATTCTTTGATGCAAGTTAAATTTATAAGTGTACATATTTTATTTTTAAAAAGAATGTTTCAACCATACACAAAATTTTTACATAGAATATGCCTTATTTAAAAAGAAAGAAAAAAAAAAAAAACCAAAGAACTATTTACTTACAATTCATCTGGTCTATAAGGAGGTGGACTTTCAAAAGGCCTTGTTGACATGGCTGATGTCACTGGTCACCTGATCTTTAGGATGAGCAATACCCCACAGCGGAGATAAGCAAACCTAAGCAACAAAAGGAGGGCAAGAGAATTACTACTGAGGCCGGAGTTTTCCTGAATCACAAAGAAAACTAGACTCTAACATCCACTCACTCCACAGTTACTTCTCTCCTCCTTTCCACGGCTGCTTTTAAGGGTGGACTGTTATTTCCTTAAGCACAAGAAATCTGAGTACAGGAATTATTCAGCTTAGTATTTCTCATAGGACCTAGCATCATGCTCTGTACATCCACAATACACAGTATCTTTTTTTTTGGCAGTATTGGGGTTTTGAACTCAGGGCCTCACTCTTGTTAGGTAGGCACTCTACCAATTGAGCCACTCCACAAGCCCCACAAGTATCTTTAAACTTGAAATTCTAAGTTATGATAATAACAACTTCATAAATTATCATTTTAGGGGCTGGAATGTAGCTTAGTGGTAGTATGCTTGCCTCACACGAAGCCCTGGGTTCAATCCCTAGCCCCCCAAAAATTACACATATGTATATGGGCACATATATATAATTTTATAGACAAAAATATTTTTAAAGTAGTCACTTCAAAGAACAAAGATGTATAAAGAAAAAGAGAAGGCTCAGCCTTTCTGAGACCTCTCCCATACAGGTTTCCTTCTCTTTTCCTCTCTGCCTAATAAACTCTCCTGCTTTACTCAAAAAGAGAGAGAGAAAATTTCTCCATAATAAATTTTTTTTTTTTCAACACAACACCAGGCACAGTGGCACACACCTGAAATCCCAGCTACTTGGAAGACCAGGGCAAGAAGATCTCAAGTTTGTGGCCAACCTAGTCAACACAGTGAGACCCGGCCTCAAAAACCACAAAACGAAGCTGGGAGTGTAGCTCAGTGGTAGAGCATCTGTCTACCATGTGTGGTGCTCAGGGTTCAATCCCCAGCACCACAGTGAAAATAAAAAAATTAATTTCTTATTACTTTGAAAGTTCATATAAAATGAGAATGCATATGAAAGTACACACATGAGCAGTGTCTAAAACATACTTAGCCCTTTGTTGTTAACTAAAGCATAATCTAAATGATTTAAAAGTATGCCTTTATTATTACAAATGAGTACATGCCGGCACGGTGGTACACACTTGTAATCCCAGCACTGAGGAGATGAGGCAGGAGAACCATGAGTTCCAGGCTAGCTAGGACTTTAAAGTGAGTTCAAGGCTAGCCTGGGCTACAAAGCAAGATCCTGTCTCAAAATAAAAAAGAAAAAGGCTGGGTACTACCGGTAATCCTACCTGCTCAGGAGGCAGAGATCAGGAGGATCGAAGTTTGAAGCCAGCCCAGGGCAAATAGTTCTCAAGACCCTATCTCGGAAAAAAAAAAAAAAAAAAGAAAGGGCTGGTGGAGTGGCTCAAGGTGTAGGCCCTGAGTTCAAACCCCAGTACCACAAAAAAAAAAAAAAAAAATCACAAAATATATGTATAAATGGCAGAGTTGTGAACATTTTTCTCTTGTCTTAATTTCCAGGTCTTTAAAATTGAACATAATTTTTACAAAAGGAGAAAAACATATAATAGTCATTTTCTAAGAGAGAAAAAGAATGATTTTGTTCTAAAATCCCTGAACATCTGAGAGGTAATTTCACTCAATCAACAAGTAACTTATTAAATGCCTAACTGCACAGAGGAGCCTGTGAAATATGAGGCAGCACTGTCCAGAAGGTCACACACAAAACAGCACCTCCTTCAGGCATTGTAGGGCTGAACTACCGGAAAAGCACAACATAGGATAAGTAGGGAAAACTTGAAGAGTCCTGGAAGAAGGGAGGCCATCCAGGCAGGTTAGGTGCTGATCCACGTGGGCTGGTATATGGGACAAAAGGGAAGCCATGTGTAGACATGGTGGAATGGCTGATCGCTTAAAGCAGGACTGTGGTGAGAACACAGAGGGCTGAGGTGGGTGAGGACTCTGAAGTCGGGTGGGAGTTTCTCATCTCATTCAGGTAGGACATAGGGAGAAAATTCATGATTCTCAGTATGAATAAATTAGGACAATGAGGACAGAGTAAAAGGGAACACCTGGGACCAGCAGTAGCAAACCTTGATGAGGTGATGAAGGACTCAAACTAAGGTATTCCATTATACTGGTGTCAGCACTTTGTGCCCCTCCTTTTAGGTATTTCCGAGTGACACCAGTAATCAATTAGTAAAGAAGAGAACTTTGAGACACTCTAAAGGTAAATTCCGTGTGAGTAGGAATTTGAGCCTGTTTTGTTTACTGATTAAAACAATGCCTGGCACATGGTAGATGTACAAATATTTGTTCAACATTTACATGAATCAGACTGAACACCGAATACTTTTGCCTGTAAGAACTCTTAAGCTTTTCAGATTGAAGGGAATGGAAAAATACCAGTTTAATTTTATGAAGCATTAGCCTCAAGTGAGCCTGACGACCATCTACAATCTGAGTATATAAAAGTAAGTTTCTTCCTTTTCAGATAAAGTTTGTGCATTGTACATTACTATGTCAGAAGAGTACATCAATTCACTCTTTAAACTTTGTTCCGCAAAATTCATAGCAACTCTCTTCCACATCCTTAAGCACAGTCAATTCCAAATCTGTCAGAATAAAACTCTACCCAACTATACAGCAATGTCTCTACTTTTTTTTTTTTTTTTGCAGTAGTGGTGACTGAACCCAGGGCCTTGAACTTGTCACACCAGTGGTCTGTTACTTAAATTATGCCCCCAATCATATATTCTTTTATTTTTTTAAAACTACTTTAGTTAAGTACAACATACAGAAAAGACAAATCATTAAGCATACACTGCTTTGTAACTAGCATCCAAGACAGTATCTTCTTATTCTAACAGTGAAATACTTAAGTAAACAAGCAGTTTAGGCCAAAATGTTATGGTGCTATGGAAGGCAAAAGCCCATATTAAGTAGCTTCCTAATTGATGTTCAGAAAAAGAATGTTAAGAAAAACTGAATGTAAATACTACTAAATGTGGGAGTGACAAATAGTGACAAATACTGACCACAGAGGAACATTATCCCTTCCATACCTACGACTCAGTCACATTCAAGACTATCCCTAAAATTCCAGGAAGATTTTGAAAACTCTAAATTAACACAGATTCAGGATGAAGTTGTCAGAAATTCAACAAAATCCCTTTCCACACTGCTCTTTCCTGTACTAAGTTTAGTTGTCCTGTCTCCTCTAATAGCAGAGATTTTTAAACTGTGAAACAAATTATTTTAGAATGCTCATTAAGAAAATTCATGCAACAACTTGGTTTCCTTGGCAGAAGTTACTACCCTGGTATGTGGAGGTGGGGTGAATACAGACAGGAACAATCCCGGGAATCTTGAACACAAATAAGTGCAATTGGGTAGATTCCCAGGGGCTAAATAATAGTAACAAATTAGCACAGAAGAATGGACCACTTGAATTCACCTGGAGGGAGGTTGCTAATAGTGACCACAGACAAGCTTATCAGATTTTTGAGCTGACCAAATGCTGCAAAGGATAACTAACTCACTGGCTAGAAACCCATCAACATTGAGCATGATCTCTGTAAGATCAAAATGAGTTCAAACAAACCAAGCATTTTTTTTTTTTATTCATTCATTCCGTACTGGGGTTTGAACTAAGGACTTTGCACTTGCTAGACAGGTGCTCTGCTGCTTGAGCCATATCCCCAGCTCTTTTTGCTCTGGTTATTTTGGAGATTGGGTCTTGTTTTTTGTTTGTTTTCACCATCCTCCTATTTTACCCTTCAGCCATTTCTGGGTGACAGGTGCAACCCACCATACCCAGTGATTGTTTGAGACAGGGTCTTGCAAACTTTTTTGCCTAGGCTCCCCAATCTCAGCCTCCCAAGTAGCTAGAATTATAGATGTGTGAGCCTGTCAAATAAGGTAATAAAGAAAATGAGCAAATGCATTCACAGCAAGGTGATTATTCTGAAGGTAAGACGTTTAAGTGCTTAGGCATACAAGAATGTGGGAAATTAATGCGAGTCAACTCCCTGTATAGCTATCCTTATCTCAACCAGCAAAAACCCTTGTTCCTTCCTATTATTGCTTATACTCTCTCTACAACAAAATTAGAAATAAGGGCAAAATAGTTTCTGCTGGGTAATGAGGGGGTGGGGAGAGTGGGAAGGGACAGAGTGGGAGGTAAGGGAGGGGGTGGGGGCAGGGGGGAGAAATGACCCAAGCCTTGTATGCACATATGAATAATAAAAAAAAAAAATTAAAAAAAAAGAATGTGGAGGCATGAATAAGTCACTTAAAAATGTAAAATTAGAGGCATGAACTGATGGATCACCCATGTACATCCTAGCTACTAGGGAGGCTGCTTGGGAAGATCACAGTTCAAGGTCAGTTCAAGAGCCCCCATCTCCAAAATAACCAGAGCAAAATGGACTGGAGGTGTGGCTTAAGCAGTAGAGCACCTGCTTTGTAAGTGTGACACCCTGAGTTCAAATCCCAGTAGCCACAAAAAAAGTAAACTTAGGGTTGAGGGTATAGCTCAGTGGTAGAGCAAGTTGTAAGGCCCTGAGTTCAATCCCCAGCACCAAAAAAAAAAAAAAAAAAAATAAGGAAACTCCATTCATAGAAATCAGTATCACAGATTGATACTGATTAGAAAGGACCTAGCTCAGTAGATGTTCATTTTAAAAGTGCACTCCCCCTCCCCCCAAAAAATGCATTTCTTTGGTAAGAATTTCAACAAAAGCTAACAAGCTATCCAGATTTTAGGAAGCATTCACAGAAATAGTATTCACATCTAGGAATGCTACAGTTTTTTAAAAAGAAACAAACAAGGGACTAGGGATGTAGTTCAGTGGTCGAGCACTTGCCTAGCACGTGTGAGGCTCCGAGTTCAACCTCCAACACAGACAAACACACACACACACAAAAAAACCCACCAGAAATCTGTACATCATGTTCTAAACTAGGTGACTCTCTAGGAC